ACATGAGGAAGAACTTCTTCCCTCTGAGGGTGACGGAGCCCTGGCCCAGGCTGCCCAGGGAGGCTGTGGAGTCTCCTTCTCTGGAGATATTCCAGCCCCGCCTGGCCGCGGTGCTGTGCAGCCTGCTCTGGGTGACCCTGCTTGGGCAGGGGGTTGGGCTGGGTGACCCACAGAGGTCCCTTCCAACCCCTACTATTCTGTGATTCTGTGAACTGCAGAAGTCTTCATATCTTCAGATAGGGGAATTTGGCTGTTTAAGACTTGTGAGTGCCGTCATGCTGTTAAGCAAGTAAGCTGTTCAATTAAAATTGGAGACCTCGGTGCCGGTGTGCCTGTTCCTGGAAGAGCCGAGCGCTTATCTCGCTTGATAAGACCAGAGGGTGGCCAGGTTTATCATTAACTTGTCACCATACCGATGTGCCTGATGCGACAGAACTCGGTTTTGCCCATAACAACTTTTAGCACAAAGTCCTGTCCTCTCAGCCAGTACAAAACCACATCAGGTTCCTTATGTCCCTGGAGAAGAGGGTGCGGTGCTGTACGCTTCGGTCTCTTCTGTAAAGTGAGGACAAGAAATTAATATCTTGATGTTTATTTGTCTGCCTGTGCTCATACGGGATGGATCACTTGGAACTGCGTGCGAGGACGCTGGTACCGAAGCTCAGGGACATAGATACATAAACGTGATGTAACTTTTGAACTCCTTTTGTATCGCCGTGCCCTGTGGGTCATGGGTGTCTTTTCTAGAGGGAAAGCTTATGAAAGAACTTGTAATTAAGTCTGTTTTCCTTTTCAGATTATTGAATGTTTTAGAAGTAATTGCACCCTTCAAGCACTTTAACAAACTTAGAGAATTTGTTCAAATGAAGCTTCCACCAGGCTTTCCTGTAAAATTAGGTAAGATGGCTACTACAACTCTCGTGGCTTTGTATTTCCAAGATGTGTGTACTTACTCATGTGGTGTGCTCAAAACTTCTGTGGGGTTTTGGAGAAGAACTCTTACGTGAAAGAGCGTGCTGCTGTAGATTTCAGGAGAACGTACTTAAAGTTCGTGGAAGGAACATCAGGTAGGAAATCTGCAGCTGAAGGGTGAATGTAGTGCCAGTCAGGGGGAGAGCTCCGTGATTTACATTTTCCTAATGCCAGGGTCTTGCTCCAAGAGCCATGTGGATACGCTGAAATACCCTTGGACTAAAGGATGGTCTCAGGAGTGACGTATTCTGTAGCATTCTCGTCTTTCTTTGTCCTCAAGGATTCCTGGTGATACATTTTTCACTTACAAATAAATAGAAAACTATTACACTTTTACGAAATGGAGATGTACGAAGCAATTTATTCATGGTATGGATTATCACAGCACAGACTGCCAAAGAGCAGCAGTGCCCTTTGAGCAGTGCAGGATTTCTTGCGCAGCAGTGAGCTGTTTAAGCTAGACAATCCTGAGCAGACCGTGTGCCTCCTCCTATCGTGTTTGCACAGCTCTGTTTATTGAGGATTGAATTTGTGCTTAATTTGTTAAGTCAGTCCACGGGCAAGCCAGTTTGAGGATAACTCATAAGTCTTCAACCTCAATTCAGGTTGGAAAAGGCTTATGTTTTAAAGCAGAGGTTGAAGAGGTTTGCCTTTTCATGTGGATTTGCTCACCTAAAGCCTACGTGTGGCAAGGGTATTGTATCTGGTATCACCTTCAGGCCAGCATCCTCTGTTTTACCAGATGGATCTGTGTGTTCACAGCACCTCGGTTTCCACGCCGTTAGTCTGCGTCGAGAAAGGCAAACCACAGAATTAACAACATTGACAGTTTTTTGACTGGTGTATTGAATTGGGTATCGTTTCTGCGCTCAGGTTCTTGAGACCACCTCCTGTTTTAAGAGCTTTGAATCGCCACTGTGGGGAACGCTCCCCCAGCTGCTACACCTTTAGCAAGTCTGAGGTTAGAAACCTGGAGGTAGCAGTTGGTAACTGTTGCCCAGCCTGCATTTCTTTGCTCGTCACTGTACTGTTTTGCTTCCTATCCAGATATTCCTGTATTTCCCACCATCACAGCCACTGTGACTTTTCAGGAGTTCCGCTACGATGAGTTTGATGAGTCCATCTTCACTATTCCTGATGACTACAAGGAGGACCCCAGCCGTTTCCCTGACCTCTAACTAAACTGGAAGGCTGATGGTGAAGAACAATACCAGCGTACCGCGGCGAAGGCAGATGGATGCACCCAGCCCACAGAGATAGGTAGAAAAGTGGGTTGCAAAGGAAGGGATGAAGGTAATAATCCAGAAGAAAAGGGAACACGCATCGAATGACGCAAGTACTGACACTCACTGTAACGGGCATCTAACCTAGTTCCTGATTCCAGCAAGTCTCCTGATGTGTCGTTCACACTTTGACACATCCAGTACTACAAGCGTGGTGGCCGGACACCTCGGTGACCCTGGGAACACTGAACAGCTGTGAGGACTGTCATTCGTTTTTAAATTTTTTTACATTTCTTGGTGATACGAAAAGCACTCTTGGACCATTAGCATCAAAGTCGAAATGTCTTAGCTGGATATTAGCCCTTCCAAACGTCCCGCCGTACTTACGATGACCTTGTTATATTCTTTCAGGCTTTCTTTTCATGAACTGTAAACTATGTATCATGATGTATAGTTCAGTAATTTGAATGTTAGTTGGGCCTATATTAGAAGGAATGCGTTTCCTGTAGATGAATGAACCAAATGGTAACCATTAAACGCTTGCATTTTCACGCCGCAGCACCCTTCAGAGGTTCCCTGCTCTGCGGGGAAGAAGGTGCCTCCTCCAGCACCCTGGTGCGACCCAGCGTGGTGCTCTCCGTGTCTCGGAACCCTTACCTGCTTCGCTGATCCTCCTTCCCCTGGCTCTGTGCTCGCCCTCCCGTCAGCACGCTGGCTCGGGGGGGTCCCGGCCGTGCCGGCGACGCTGCGCGCAGCTTCACTAGCGAGAAACCGCCACGTTTTTTGTTGGTTCCTCACGTTCACCCAGGAGCAGTGCTCCGTGCTGGCTGGTGGTGGTGTCCAGCCCCCGCGTGGGGAGAGTTACCGGAACAGGAGGCTCGAGCACTAGGCCTGAAGGTGGAGGAAGTTTCTCTTGAGGTTGGTTTAGTTGTAGTGCACATCGAGTAGGGCTCACTTTGGAAGGTTTTGTTTGCAGATGCGTAGGGTGTGTCCAGATTAATTTCCTTCCTCGTGGTATTTTGAACAGGTAGGGGTTCCGGTGCTCTGGCTTCTGGAGCTCATTCTCATTCCAGTCCCCCGATTTGACAATAATCCAGCTTTTTGGTTTGTGAAAAAGAACTTGTGCAAAAGGCTGATGGTGCTATTTGTTTGTATTAAGAAATCTAGATTAAAGTGCTGTGGTGTAATTGTACAAAAATGTAAATATTTTCAAAATTATATTCTTTGTGCACTGTAGTTAAAACTTTTTCTGGAAGTCAATAGAGTTAAGGATCAAAGTTTATGACAAAGAGTAGCGAAGGTGCCCGGGACCCCACGGGGGACGACAGACGGGGCTGGCGTGGCAGGGCCGGGCGCTCCCGCGGCTCCT